TTAGTTAGCTTCAGACAGAGTTAGTTAGCTTCAGACAGAGTTAGTTAGCTTCAGACAGAGTTAGTTAGCTTCAGACAGAGTCAGTTTCAGACCTCCAAATGTTTGCTGCTCGGCTGACAGCGAGCTGTGCGATGTGGCGACACCTTTACCTGCAGGCGGAGCAGGTTACTGACAGGTGTGAACACAACCAGGTTCCACTTTAGCACCAGATCCAAACAGAGCGTTGGGCACACAGGTACAGTTAAAGATTTGTTGTAATGAAGTCCAAACTGAATGATTGGAGCCATGATGTCAGTGAGTCACAGAACTCAGATGGACAGAAGACATAAAGAGCGTCGTGTCCATCACCTGGACATGGGGTACCAGCAGGGACGGTACCTTTGACATTTGAATCAATTCAGTACCGATATCCAGTACCTGGGAATCAGTACTGATACCCAACGGTACCAATTTTCTGTACTTTGTGTGTTGTTTTTTTTAATAAACAATTTTTAACAATTTATTTCTTGATATATAAAATTTAACAAATAAAGGCAAAATCCAACTCTTTGTATTGTAAAATCAGTTGCTTAATTTCTTTAAAGTGAAAACTCTTGAAAACAATTAACACTGTGTTTTCTTATTGCACAAATTAAAATCCAGCTCCACGTGTTTCTATTGATGTCATTTTCTTGCTAGAAAAAGTGTGTGATGGAGGTCCATGGAAGGCAAATAAGTTTAAATCAAATAAGCAAAAGAGGATGGAGTTAGGGTTGGGCAAAATCGTATCGTGCAATTAAACGTCAAAAAAAACTTTAATCGATTATTTTTGGGCACTTGATGATTAATATGATTAATGCCACCTGTCAGTGCTCTCGATGCTCCTCTCCACTTCAAATATGATGAACATTAAAAAAAAAAAAGTTCTGTAATTTTTTTATCATAACTCTGGTTTTACTTGGTCTATCAACACAATTTAAAACATTGATTTATAGCCTGAAGTCTGTACTTCTGACACARTTTGGAACTGATTTTTACAGAGAGCAAATCTTTCCCACTAGAGTGATTTAAACTAGTCATGTGACTAAAGTATGAGGGTGTCCAGGGACTCCAGGTGACTAATCGTTATCGGCTATATACCACAATTAATCGTGATTCATTTTTTTTGCCAATATTGCCCAACACTAGACGGAGTTAAAATAAACAAAAAGGTATTTAAGCTACATTCAGAACAAAAACATTCATTTAAACCAGGTGTGTCAAATCAGGGAAACATCTAAACATGCAGGTAAGCAGTCCTTGAGGACCAGGGTTGAGAATCACTGCTTTAATACATGTTATCTGATTTATTATTTACAAATAAATGGCAAAGAATCAATGACTTCCAGAGGCAACACTAAAAAAACCCCACATAAAACTGAGTCAATATTATATTTTGAAAAAGTCTCATCAAGCTCAGAAGGTCTTGAGGTGTTGGTCAACATTTAAAGCAGTGATTTTTAGATRTTTCCCTGATTTGACACAYYTAGTTTGAATGAATGAGTGATTAACAATCTTCTGAAGACCTGYTGAAGAGCAGGGAAACAAGTCAAACATGCTGGATAGGGGTCCTTGAGGACCAGGGTTGGGAACCACTGACTCCAYCAGATAATTCAGAGGYGGTCTGTTCACTAAGTTTCACTTTCAAGCTACATTCAGACTGAGCTCTGTTTACTGAACCAGCAGCTGCTGAYGTCATTATGCTYTTACACGATGCTGCGTTCAGGACAAGCATGGAAAATCTCCAACTCTTMAGCAAATATGGTCACAATGATGCGTTCAGGTACCCAAACATGGAACTGTTTGATGTTACGTTAACAGGTACTTGGTAGCATCAATCCATCTTCTTCTGCCTATCCGGGGTCGGGTCGCGGGGGCAGCAGCTTCAGAAGGGAGGCCCAGACCTCCCTCTCCCCAGCCACTTCTTCCAGCTCCTCYGGGGGAACTCCAAGGTGTTCCCAGGCCAGCCGAGAGACATAGTCCCTCTAGCGTGTCCTGGGTCTTCCTCGGGGCCTCCTCCCGGTGGGACGTGCCCGGAACACCTCACCAGGGAGGCGTCCAGAAGGCATCCTTACCAGATGCCCGAGCCACCTCAACTGGCTCCTCTSGACGTGGAGGAGCAGCGGCTCTACTCTGAGTCCCTCCCGGATGACCGAGCTTCTCACCCTATCTCTAAGGGAGAGCCCAGACACCCTGCGGRGGAAACTCATTTCGGCCGCTTGTATCCGGGACCTCGTTCTTTCGGTCATGACCCAAAGCTCATGACCATAGATGAGGGTAGGAACGTAGATCGACCGGTAAATCGAGAGCTTCGCTTTCTGACTCAGCTCTCTCTTCACCACGACGGACCGGTACAGCGCCCGCTTTACAGCAGACGCTGCGCCAATCCGCCTGTCGATCTCCCGCTCCCTTCTTCCCCCATTCGTGAACAAGATCTTCAGATACAAACTCCTCCACTTGAGGCAGGACGACCCCCCTGACCCGGAGAAGGCACTCTACCCTTTTCCRGCTACTTGGTAGTACCGACAGAATTTGGTTGGTACTTATAAAAGTATAGAATTCAGTACCCATCCCCATCATGGAGCCAGACTCTACTCAGTGAGCTACATGGRTTCTCCTTCCTGTGGGCCCTCCACCTGCAGGGGAGGGGGTACAGGTTGTCGCACTCTGTCCATTGACCCTTTCTTGTCCAATCCGAGTCTTGGGACATTACATCTTCAGTGACAGAGCTCGAGCTGAAACACCGGTCCTGGAGGGCCACTATCCTACATTTTACCTGTTTCTCGGCTCCAGCACACCTGGTTCAGTGATTGAATCACCTCTAATTCTGTAGAAACCTCCAKTCCTGCAAACCAGGTGTGTTGGAGAGAGAAGGTGTCCCTCAAGGACTGTATTTTGACACCTGGTGACATGGCATGGATTCAGAAACTGATGATCTGTAGAGGGTTGGATCTTGTTTCCYTCTGATGCTGATGGGGTGAGGCACCGGGTAGGTGGGGGGGGTCTAGCCCCCCAGTTCGCCGTGTGTTGGTGTTTACCCGGGAAGAGGAGACGGAAGCTTCCCTGTGGATTCTGCCCTGGCTGCTGGACCAGCTCTTTACCCTCACTGTGATGCTTTGAGGGGCGCGGGAGTTGGTCCAACCAGTCTACATGTGTTTTGTGGACCCTGAGTTTGCTTCAGATGTAAAAACTAAAATCTAACGAGTGTTTTCATAGCAACATAAACCACAACAAACAGAAAATATTYCTGCAGAAAAACACCAATCAAACAGCAGTAAACAGAAGTGTTTCAGACTCTCCAACTATCTGCTCTTCACTGTGATCAAAGCTGCAGTTGGAAAACCAGCAGGATTAGCCAACAGTTGTGTTCACTAACCAGGCTAACAATCATTAGCAAACCAAGCTGATAATGCTTTTTATGCATTTTAAGAAGTTAAACTCGAACAACTTGTTCCCCAGCAGACAYGCACATAATTCAAATACAAAAAGGTCAAAGCATCTTTATAGCTAAGAAACTCAGCATAATTCACTAATTTTGTCACATAACTGGCAAATTTTCTGTTCTCAGCTGAAGTGAAACAGGAAGTGACATCAAAGGTTAACTCAAAAGGTTTTAGTTTATTGAAACACCATTTGAGTGTTCATCTCTGATAGAAACTCAAAATACTTTAAACAYCAGATTCTTCTCTACAGTCTGTTATTGTAGCATCTCTGTTTACACAGACAGTCCTCTGTGACATCACTTCCTGTTTCTCCAGGTGCAAATATCTGAACAACTGTTCATCTCAGGGGAGTGAATTTTTTCCAACATGTTCTCAATGTTACTGTTCACAAAATTAATTTACTTTTATTACAAAAAGTTGTCAGGTAAAGCAGAGGTTCTCAATTTGGGGTCTTGGGGGTCCACAACAAATGTCACTAAATTGCTAAATTTGGTTTTTATTTTTAAAAAATGCACGGAGAACAATGAACTAATCAAACAAACATAATAAACTTAATAAAAATATATATTCCCATGGCATTTAAGGGTTGAAATGACAATAAATTTTCTTTTAAAACAGAATAGGGTTTGTGAGGGGGTCCCTGGAATTTTTTCACCCTTGTAAGGGGTCCCAAATGGCTCGAGAACCCCTGGTTTAAAGCACCCCTGTGTGAGTTACTGAGATACAAATCAATGAGTGAAAATCATTAATAACTGCATAATATCACAACTTTGCAAGAAGCGATATTGATTTCCAAGCATCTGGTTGATTTCTCTCACTTGGAACGTAAAAACAACGTCCAACCACAGATGGACCAACACCAGATGAAGATGAACTGGGTCCACGTTTAAAGAAGCTCATTATAAAAACAACACCAGTCTGAAAGGTGACAAAACATCGCATCACGTACCCCAAATGGGCAGATCATCGATGTACATCTGGTACCAGTAGTGATTCTTTATGGCGTAGACGAAAGCATCCTGTTTGGCTTTGTCCATCTCAATGTTACAATAAGTCATCTGCATGACTTCCTCTGCAAAGAGAATAAAAAACATGAGACAGAAGCCCACGCTGCATCACTAAAGTGAACAGCTGAAGCAGGGCGTACCTTTGAACTTAATATCCAGGCCGCTGAACTCCAGCTCCACGCCCTGCAGAGCCTCCCCGAGGGTCTCGTGGTAGTGGCTGATGGTCTTCTTGATGCCCGCGCAGAAGGGCAGCGAGAAGTATTTGTAGGTCTCCTGTCGGTTGTGGTAAGGCCCCACYGTGTTCATCCACAAAACCACCTCCTCTCCGTCTGTGTACTGTGAAGGGAACACACAGGTGAGGTTGGCCACACCTGTTCTGCAAGTCCATCTGGTTACTTATCTTTAACATAAGTCTTTTAAACTTTAAATTACCGATTCACGTTAATCACAAAGCCGTATCAGTCACTTAACACTAAAATGGTGACTATAAAGAATCAAAATAACCACATTGACTGGAGTATTTATTTGGAAGCTGCATTAGCATGTATGCAAACAGAGTTACTGATGTGCTTCAGCCACGTTTGAGGAAGTTAACTTCATTCATTGTGCTCATTATCTCACCCAAAAGCYTCTCTACAAAGAAAACAAGCTCATTTATCATGACGACAAGCTGTTAGCTTGGTGTTAGCTTGTTGGGACAGTTTGTGCAAAAAGTGCCCCTCTGGGTCAACTGTTCGCGGCACGAAAGGCCTCATCGTCTGCCCGGTGTTTTCACCAACACAACCGTTTGTGTTGTTTCAACCTGCCTCCAGGTTGCCTCCTGCAGTCGTTTAGCTAGCTGCCGTGTTTGGAGCAGTTTCCACCGGGTTAAAGGAAGCCCGAAGAGGAGCAGCAGAGAGTAACTGACAAGCGTTAGCCACAATGAGCACTTTAAGGCCGATAAATGTCAACACGTTCGCTAAATAACTGTTTATCAGTTTAAAGGCTCGTAAAGTGTCGATAAATTACACAACAGGCCAGAGACACGAGCCCCAYCACGTCTGGAGCAGTTTTTAGGACTGCAGCTAGCCACCGCTAATAGTTAGCATGCTACATTGAGCATAAACGTCCATTATTTTCACGGCTCCCCCCCCTTTTTTTTTCAGTCGGCCTCCTAAAACTTTGACTCACCGTGTGGTCGTGTTCATCCGCGCCGACAGGTAATAACGAGCCCGTTAATGAGATGACCACCGCGGCTACCTTCCACCAGGAAGACCCCATCGTTATATTCGGCGAAAGTATGCAGAAAGATTGAGGTTGTTAGCTTCGCGGGGCTATCCAACCTTCTTCCTGGTTGTATGACAGAGGCAATTTTCAGGAATACGCTCCGTATGCGCTTCAAGCGCTGGCATCGCTCTCGCGTTTGATTGGCGGAGGCGGGTCACGTGGCGCCGGSCGGCCAATCAGCGCGGACAGCGAGGGCAGGAGGAGCGGTTGTTAAAGCTTCAGCCACGTCATCCGACTGCCAAGAGCTCCGCCGCTGACAGAGCGCGTGCACGAGGCCCGTACGCGCGCGCGCACACCGGAGCTTCACAKAATAAAAAACCTGCTCATTTAAAATTTATCTTCAAACTTATAGAATGCTTCAAATATACAACTTGAAACTGCAGAATATATGTTACTATAGTAAAATCACAACAATAGCAAAAGTTGATAACAAACTGCATTTGTTTTAAATTCTATGAACTTTAAAGTGATTTAGACAACTGGTTATCCCAGGGGTCTGCAACCTACGGCTCTGGGGCCACATGTGGCTCTTTGGTCCCTCTGCATG